CCCCAAAACCCCAAAACCCCAAAACCCCAAAACCCCGTAATATACATCTCTGCTAATAAATTGAATGCAATTAAAAACTAAATTAACATAAAAAAGCGTGACTAAATCCACTATAAATAGATGTATGTTTAAAAATTATATAAAAAAAAATAAAATGATTTATAAAAATAATAGGTCAACATAGAATTAAGTTACATATAAAGGAATAAACCTTGAATTTACTTGCCAAAATATAGAAAATTTGAAAGGCAAAGTAATATAATTGATTAAACTAAATTGGGTAATTCATGATCATAATACTGTCAACGTATATAATTAATCGGCAAAAGAAAGATTATAAATAATAAATAAAATCTAATAATGGCTCGAATAAATGGTAGATCTCATGTCACAAGACTGTGATCATGGTTGGTATTTTGCAAGGAAATATCTAATGAAAGCGATTAAAAATAATTAAAAAATGTACAAAATTGTGTGTGGAGTAGGTAAATAATTAACTCTCTTCAACTATATAAAATAGTAATTAATTGACAATAAATTCTAATTTGCTTATGATTCAAATATTGGAACTATAGTAGTCATATTGACATATAATAAAGCCTAACTCTTTTAAAAAATGAAAAATTACTTTGGCTATATATGAATTATACTAAATGCAGGATCTATAATGTTTTTTATCAATACAACAAGACCTTATTATTGAGGTAAATTTGCAAAATTAATAGAAATCATTAAAGATTTTGACGTTCAGATCTAAACTTGCTAAACTAATTTTTAAAGCAACAAATGTTTTAGTAAAAAAGCAGAAATATAGATGACTTCAATGATCATTCAAATGAAATACTTTTTTAACTAAAAGATATGAATTTATATGACTAAGAAAAAGAGCAACAAATATTAAATAGAAAACTGAGAAATTACGCTATTAAAAATACTAATGCCGCATTTTTTTACAGAAAAAGTTGGATTTATTCAACTGATTACAAACACAATAAATTTTTACTCACAAAATGAATACAATTATGCTGAATTAACTAATACAACAAACCTAGTATTCTCAAAGTTGAGATACAATATTACTTTCTATAAAGATGTCAAGAAATGTTTCCTGGCTCTAACTATTATCAAAATCATATTGCAGCAACCATTAATCCTAATGACCAATAATGGTTTGCATTTTTACTCCATTTTTTCCCCTTTGGTCACTGTGTTTTACACAGGTGGATAGGTTTTTTTTAAAAAAATGAATTGTTTGATTAGTAAGTTTAATGTTTGATGATTTATTTCTCTTCTTTGAATGTTCCATTCAAACATCTTTATAATTTCAAGTAAGGTTTTCTGATGAAAATCTTAAGTATGAAGAACCCATTACTCTTCAAAGTTTGTGTAGGGTTGGTTTTAGGATCAATATAGACGGTGCACTTAATTTGCAATTCTGCATAATTATGAGATAGAGATTATCATAGAATTTATTTTCACTGCTTTAAGTGATTTATGATAAAATAACATTTGCTATCTCTCCTCAGCTAATTATTTTAAATCTGCACAAAATCATTCTCAATATGTTGTTTCTGAGATGGAAAAAAAAAAGATTATAGGGCACCTCTGAAATAATTTAGAATCCCCTTAAGCTGATTGTTGGACTAAACCTGGAATTTAGCAACATAAAAGATTGTATTGCATTGTTTATAAAGCTTATACAAATATAATTACTACACAAAGCGTCTTCGCATTTTGATTATCATGAGAGAACGTTTTTATCATTGAAACTAGAAGCATTTGCTTTAGAACGGCTAGACTCCGAAATTATATGCTCCTAGAGGAATTAACCGAATCTTCTTGCTAGTTTAACTTTTTATCATATCTTTTTTGCCATTTCTGATCCTAAGCAATATAAAATAGATGAATTGTAAATTTTCCTGAACAAACTGAGCGATATTTTCTAACTTACCAACATTAAAAATGCAATCAATCTGCTCTTCTTCTCGCAACGGTATAGGATTCTTGTCCAAATCTTTTATAGCCACTCACAGTGGAGTGAATTTATAAAGCATATTAGAAGTTTCAGAGTTTTTTAACATTTTAGTGTTTCATTAAATGTGATTTTTGTGTTTTTTTCTCTGTTTGATCATTGTTTAAATTTTTTCATTTCTCTAAAAGTCTCATTAGTGGTCTAGAAGTTGAAGAAGTTGAATTAATCTTTTTTGCGATTATCTATTGAGACTTCTTTTTAGAATGTATGAATTTGCTCTTGATATTAATATTTTGAGATAAAGAAGAATTTAACCAGCTGTGCTTATAAATTTAAAGCAGATAAATTGATAGTCTAGAGTTAATTACTTCAATAATTTATATTTAAGGTCATTTAATTTTATCAGCTGTATTAATCTTCGTAAAAAATGCTCAGCGGGGTTTTGGGGTTTTGGGGTTTTGGGG